CCCCCCCCCCCTCGGTCGCGTGGGGACGCGTTAGGCGGGCTCCGGGGCGCCGGGCCGGGCTGCTGTGCGTGTGTGTTCGGGTGCGCGTACAAGCGTGTATTGCCCTTGAGCGCCCACGCGGCGATGCGAGGCGGGGGAGGGGTTGGAAAGGGGTCTGAAAGATGCTCTGCCTTGATGGCAATGCTCCACACGCCGTGGGGTAGGGGGGGGGGGAGGCTCGCCGCAACACCCAAGTCTCGGCGGCGGTGGAGATGCCCCGCCTGGGTGGCGGCTCCTTGGCATGCATGCGCGGCTTCCGGATTCGGTGCGACAAGCGGCAGCCCGCCCCAGGGTACGAAAGGGCACGAGGCCAGTTGGCGCAGCGACATGTCCGTGGCCGGTACTTACCGCGGGCACCGGGGACCCGACACCGGGGGCATGCTGGGCCCGGTCTGCCTTCCGACCGAAAGCCCGGCGGCTACGCGGCCGAGGGGGCAGTTTGGGCGGCAGGCCGGGTTAAAGGCAGGGGGAACGTCGGGGGAGTGGCCCCTTCCCCGGCCCTCTTCGAGCCGAAGGACAGGGCCTATTAACAGTGCCGCGGGCGCAGAGGCCCGCATCTGCCATCGTTGGGGCGACTGGCCGGCGGCGCTGCTCGCCCTGCTTCCGAGTAGCGCAGACGCCGCGGGCTGCTTGACTGGCGCCTTGCCCTTCGACTGCGCCCCATGAGCGAACCGCGCCCCTCGGACAGTTACCCCGGGCCCGGATGGCGTCTGTGCTGGACAGCTCCAGGGGCCTGTGGCGTTCGGGAGGGGGGGGGGCGGCAGAGGGCCGGGCCAGCGCAGCGTCGGACGAGGGGGCGGGGGGCTCGCAGCGTGGGGCTCAGACGCAATGCGTCATGCGCCAGGGCCGGGCCTCCCACGTCCAGGCCCCCTTTGCTCCTGTGCGTCGGCCCTCGGCCACCGGGGCCGGCGTTGGAGCATGGCAGCGGTGCTCGAGTGGAGTGGCTGCGACCGGCGCGGGGGCAGGCGCTTGGCAAGAGCGCCCATGCAATATGCCCACCCGTCTGCCCTCGGGCAGGCGTGCACGCAATGCGACCCCCACGTGGGGTTCGCGCAGGCTCGGGTGCAATCCTCCGTCAGTGTGCATGGCGGTCGTCCGCCAATGATTTAGCCTCGGCGAGTCGTCCACAGGGGGGATGGGGGGGGCGGCGGGAGAACCACGGGGCCGGTCGACGGTGTCGTCGACCCGGAGGCACGGCGGCCGCCGCCCTTGCTCTCCTCGATGTGGCGTCGGCGCCAGGGTAATATTGGCGTGCGTTTGCCGGGCGCGCACGACGGGTCATTTCCGGGGTGCCTCGATTTTTGGCCGCACCTCCGGGGCGCGCCAGCAAGGGCGCTGGCCGTCAATGGCGGCGGGGCCTCGTCCTTCCGGGCAATGTTGCAGCACTCGGCCCTCCCCCACCCCCTTCTGCCCCAGTCTGGCGAGTGCGGTGTGCGAAATCTCCACCAACACCGCCCTGCCATGCTCCTCGTGCGCTGCGATGTTTGTCGGCCAGCCCCTCCGGTGGCCGCGGTGGTGTTAATTTCCCGGCGGGCTGCTCGACAGCGCCGTGTCCGCGGGTCCCTTGCCTGCGCGATAGCGGGGTCTCCAGCATGGGCCCGTCCTGCCACGCGAGGCGCGCGGGCATCCTGCCCGCCCTTGTCCTGCCTCCCTTGGTGTCACTTTGGCGGCACCTCGTCCCAGGCTCGCCCCCACTCCCGGGGCTGTGGGGCAGCCTCCCGCCTCCCGCCTCCCCCTCACGGCCGTGCATGTGTGGGGCCAGCCCCTGGGGGAGCTGGGCGGGCCGACTCCGGCACCGGCGTCATCCCCCCGGATCCTGCCGGGCCTCGGCGCTCCTGCCGTTGCCTAGCGTGCTCGAGGCGGCGGTGAGGGGGGGCCGTGGAAGGGGTCTGGCCGAGCGGCTGGCCGGTCGCTTCCGGTACGAGGAATGCTCCGACCGCCCCCGGCGTTTGATGCCCGGCGCCCCGGTCGAGGGGCAGGGGCTCCAGGCCTCCGTGGCTTTCGGGCGCAGCGCGGTCGCCCAGGCGTCCCCCCGCCTCGCGGCCTCCCTCCTGCTCTGTGGGCACGCTTTACTTGGGAGGTGGCCCAGAAAAGGGGCGGAGGGGGGGGGGGGGGGGGGGGGGGGGACTCTGGGGGGGGGGGGGGGGGGGGGGGGGGGGGGGGGGGGGGGGGGGGGGGGGGGGGGGGGGAGAACCTTAGGGTTGAAGGGGGGGAGGGGGCATAGCGCCAAGCGTGGTCTGTTTGTGCCTCCAGGAAATCACCCACAATCAGCCGCGGCATGCCTGATCGGTTCGGGGCACATACACACGCACACACACGCACACACACGCACGCACACACACACACACACACACACACACACACACATGCACACGGCCATACACGCCGCCGGGGCATTGGGCCAGTTCGCGCCCCGCGGCGGACCGGGTCTCGGGCGCGGTGCAGCGAGGGGAAGCGGCGGGCGGGGGCGGCCAAGCGCCCCTCTCGGTGCATGGGCCATATGCCGGGGCTTACGCAATAGACTGGCCCCCGACGGTCGCCTTGGCATCACCGGGCGCGATCGTGCCGGCCTAGATGAGATATTAATATGCCCGCTGGTGCGGCGTGTTTTCCCTTCTTTTTTTTTGCATGGGCGTCGCGCTGCGGGCGTTTGCATGCGCCGTATGCGCATGATGAGGCGCGCGCGTGGCGAGCAAGCAATCCCGGCACATGCGTGCCCTGCGGATGTGTATGTGTGTGTGTGAGAGAGAGTATTTGTACGGCCTGGTCTATCCTGCCCGCTGCACTGGGCCAGGGTTTCGGCATGTTGCCAGAGGTGGCCGCCCCGGCGAAGGGCAAGACAGGGGGGGGGGACCCTGCGGGTCCATTGTTTGGACGCCACCGAAACACATCATTCTACTTGTCACGATCTGCATCCGGCGCGCGCGGTGGCCGACCGCGCCACCCCGCGCGCCGGGGCCCCCGAAGTGTCCATAACAACGCGACCTATGTGGTCCCTGGAAGGACGGTCATGCGAACAGAGACTAGGCGCGTATGGTGGCTCGGTGGATGGCATCTATCCCGACTCGCAAACACGCCCACTCCTTGGCCCTCTCTTTCTCGATGGGGGCGTGCTCGTGGAGGGGCAGGCGCCCAGGAGCTGGCCAGGGCCACTGGGATGCCCAGGCACATACGAGGGGCGGGGGACCTCCACCGCGCCGGCCGCCCTCAGCTAGGCCGCTCGCCGGAAGAGCCCGGGCACTGGCTGGGGCTTGTTTTTCGCGGGCCAAAACCGGCCTGCCTGGGCGGTTTCGGTTCATCGTGGCCAGCTCGCCCGAGCGTGCGTTTCCCCACGCCCCCGGGGGTAGGCGCGCGGCGGGAGGGGGAGCGATGCGGCGAGCACGTTCCCCGCCCTCCCCCCCCCCCCCCTGCCTCTGGCCCTGGAAGGATGTTCCTCAGGTATAGGCCCCGGGGGCACGGGGGGCGGGCGGCTGGGGGGGGGGGGGGGGGGGGGAACGCATGCACACCGGCCCCGGGGAGCACTGTGCTGGGCCTGCGGCGGACTGACTCCGGCGCCCGGGGCCAGTCGTTCGCCACCCGGGCCACCACACCGCTACCCCCTTGGAGTTGGGTCCCACCCGCCAGCAGGGGCGTACCGAACCGGACCAGCTCGTGGTCTTCCTGGACCGAACCGCCATCCTCGGCCAAACCGCCCGCGGTTCCCGGCTCTGATCAGTAAGCCCCAATGGAGTCGGACCCAGGGGGCAAGGCACGGCGTGTCAAAGTGTGCCGCACGGCCGGCCCGAAGTGGCGGGGGCCGGGCCGGAGGGGGGGGGGGGGGGGGGGGCGGGGGGGGGGGGGGGGGGGGGGGGGGGGGGGGGGGGGGGGGGGGGGGGGGGGGGGGGGGGGGGGGGGGGGGGGGGGGGGGGGGGGGGGCAGTGGCGTCTCCTTGTGCCCTGGCCGCGGCCAGCAGCCCAGCAGACGAGGCGGGGCGCGCGGCCGGGGGAGGGAGCGGCCGGGGCAGCCACGGGAGAGACATTAAAGAGGGCTGCCCGCACGCTCCAGTTCTCTGATTGGGAACATCCTCCGGCTGCTCTCTTCGTGGTCCTGGAACTGCTTTGCCTCCTCTCTTCTCCCTCCGCAGCTGCACTTTCGCATTCGTCCCCCCTGCCTCCTCGCGCGTCTCCTGCCTTCGCCCATTCCGTCTCCTCCTCTTTCGGTCTCATCCATCCCTCCGGACGCCCCCCAATCGTGCGTTGCCGTGGCGATCCCGCGTCGCCGAGAGACAGGCCATGTCCCTCAGCAGGCTGAGCGTCATGGTCGTGTCTGCGTGTGCCCGCGACGATTCTGCCCCACCCTCTCTCTTTCTCTCTCTCTCTCTCTCTCTCTCTCTCTCGCTGGGTGGCCTGCCTCCGGCGAGCAAACAACGAAGCGTCCTATTTTTTCTCCCCGCGCTATGGCCCCTCTGTGACTTACCCCCCCCCCCCCCCCCCCGCTCCTTTCCCATACCTTCTCGGCTTTTCTCACCTCCTCTCCCCCCCCCCACTCCGGCTCCTTTCTCACGGAACACACTCGTACACACACACACACACACACACACACACACACGCACGCGCACACACACACAGACCCCCGTAACCATGTTCAAGAAGATGTCCCTCACCCTCGTCGTCCTGGTGGCCAGCCTCATCTCGCTGGCCACCGCCGACATCGGCCTCGTCCAGTCCAACACCCGGACCGTCTACGACGGTGTGGGTCTCAGCGCCCGCGCCAGCATGCCCAACTTCGTGGTCAACCGTAAGTCCTGCCTGATCGACAGCGGCAGCCGCCAGTCCGGCATCACCGTCGGTGCCGGCCACGGCATTGCCCACCATGGCACCCCCTTCTGCTGCAAGGATCTCGGCACCATCGAGTATGACAGCCAGAACCGGAAGACCTGCCGCGCCGGGTGCCCGGATGAGCCGCGCTTCGAGCTGCACTACTTCGCCCGCGACGTCGACCAGATCGGCGCCGACTGCCTGACCAACTGCTTCGAGAAGTGTACGTTCCACTGGGCCTCCTGCCCGCGCCCCCGCGCCCCCGCGCCCCCGCGCCCGGCCCTCTCTGGTCCATACTTGCTGCACACGAAGCACGCACGGGCATATGCACACACCAGGCTGCTTAATTGTGGGGGCCCGCCGCTCCTGCGAAGGGCACTATGCCCCATGTTGGCCGAGCGCGCCTGACCGAAAACATCCGCCCTTCCCCTCTCCCCTCGCGGGGCTTCCCCGGCTCCGTGGGTGCCCTCCGTGTGTGTGTGTATGTGTGCGCGCGCGCGCGCGCCCTCTCCAGCCGGGTGCAAGGACTGCCTCACCGGGACCAACATCCAGAACTGCACTGAGTGGTGCAAGAGCCAGGTGGTCGGCACTTCCGGCGGCCGTTGCGCCAACCCCGGCAGCAACCAGGTGACCAACTGCTGCGAGTGTGTCTTCAACTGAGAGAGAGAGAGAGAGGGCACCCGCGGGGAGTGTGCCACACGGCACTTTGTGCGTGTGCGTGTGCGTGTGCGCATGCGAGGCCGGGCGGATGGCCCCTGCCGTGACCTCTTTTCCTTGGCGCCTCTCTTCTGCCCGCCGCCACCGCCGCCTCCTTCTCTTCCTCCTCGTCCTCCGCTCCCTGCCTCGCTCCTTCTCGGTACACATCGGCTCGTCGTGAGAGGTGTTGCGCCCGCGCGACCTGTGGTGCGCCTCCGTATGCGCCGGGAAAAAGCTCGGCCTCGTGCCAGGCCCGGCTCCCGAGCCCATGTGTGTCTCGCATGCGGCCCGTGCATCTCCTCCCCCGCCCTTCCGGCCCCGTCTTCCGGGTCTGGGTGCGGAAACGCGCGACGTGCGTGCGTGCCGTGTGAAGGGCCGAGCAAAAACTGAAAAAGCACAAAAAAGAAAAAAAGAAGAAAGTCCATGCGGTTAATCGCATGTTTCCTCCTCCGAAGCTCTCCGCCTCGTGTGGAGAATCAGGACGAGGACCCACACACACACACACAAGCACATGCGCGCACACATCGCATCGCATCTGCTGTGTGCCCTCGCTCTCCTCCGCGCCGCTATTCGCCCCTCAGCGGACAAGGGCCTGGATGAGGGAGAGAGAGAGAAAGAGAGACAGAGAGAGAGAGAGAGGAAAAGAGGTCGAGCGCGAGTGAGTGAGCGGGGGGGGGGGGGGGGGGGGGAAAGGCAGAGAGCTCGCCGAGTGGCGCCGATCCCACAGGCGCGCACAGGACTTCCAACGCCTATGCCGCATGTGAGTGCCCCCTACCGTCGCTCCTTGCCTCGGCTCCGGGCCCCCTCCTGCCCCTCCCTCCTCCCCCCCCCCTCCCCGCACTGTTGAGACATGCGCATGCACACGCGCCTGCTACTCGCCGACATGGACGCCTCCGCCTGTTGCGCCCGATATTCATCATTAGGGGAAAGAAAAGTTATATATACACCAGCAAATGTAAATTTCCCAATACCAAATCATTAGGCTCGAGAGAGAAAAACACCCGAGTTTTTGCAGGCCAGCACATCCGGCTTTGCGCGCGCGTGCGCGCGCGCGTGTGTGTGTGTGTGTGTGTGTCGGGGTGTCGGGGTGTCGGGGTGTCCGGCTCTCCACCGTGTTTTTGTTTGATTCTGGGTGGCATCGCGTGTGTGTCACATTTGGGGGAGGGGGGGGGGGGGGAGATGCAATCCAGCATGCCCTCGTGTAAAGTCGTCGCTGCATGCCACACTGTGAGATGCGCCTCGGGCTGCTTCCTCGTGCCTCCCCCTCCCCCTTCTTGAGGTGATCGCATGCCCCCAAAAAGCACCAACGCCCAGGGGGCAGCCACACCTTCCAGGAAGGACCGGGGCATTTGGGGCTTGCATCTTAAATGCCCCCTGGCGCGCTTTTGCCCCATTGTCGACTCTTCGGGCAGTCACCTCCGCCGGGCGAAACGCCCACGCCAGAGCACCATCACAATCGGGGCGCAGAGCACCACACCCAAGTGCAGGCAGGGGAGATGGAAGGGGCACAGGGGAAAGGGCAAGCCTCCAGCTTATGCCAGGCTCTCGCCACCGCGAGGCCATGTCACGCACTTGGAAGGGGGTCGCCCGCCAGGGTGGCTGCCCGGGGCTTTGTCGTGCGGTCACCTGCCACGACCGGGACCGGCCACAACGATGCCCCATACAAGCACCCAGGGGGGGGGGGGAGGGGGCTGCGCCTCCGCCCCCCGCGCGCAACGCGCCCCCGCCCCCCCCCCCCCCCCCCCCCCCCCCTCGTGTCCCCACCCCCCCCCGCCTCGTCCCCCGGGCCCCCGGGAGGGCAGGGGGGGGGGGGGGGGGAGAAGGGGCCCCCCCGCGGGGCGGGGCGCCCCCGCCGCCCCCCCCCCCGCCCGCGGGGGGGGGGGGGGTGGGGGGGGGGGGGGGGGGGGGGGGGGGGGCATGGTAGGATGAGAACAGAGGGGCGCGAGAGGGCCCTTCGTGTAGTTTAACGCGTCCGGAGAGCCTGGACCAGACGTCCGAGCGTCGCAGTAGCTGGGCCTCAATTAAAGCCACGCATCGTCCTCGTGTAGTCATAAGTTGCATCAGACAGAGGCAGGAAGAGAGAGGGAGAAAGGGAGAGGGGCAAGGAGGAGAGGGTATTTGTATTTCTGAAGGCAGAGGGAGGGGGGGGCCACCCAGGAGGGATCGCATCAACTGAGCGGAAAGGCCGGGTGAAATCGAGGGCAGAGGAAACTGAAAGGGAGGAGGAAACAGGGGGAGGCGAAAAGGAAGGAGGAGACAGGGGATTCCCCGGGAGCAAGGGAGACTCGCTGCGCCTCCTGCCCGCCTCCGCCCCCCCCCCCTCCCCCCGGCGCCGGTTGTGAGGCTCACACCTCGCTGAAGCTGGCAAAGGCAACGATGATGTCCTGGATGGTGGGCCGGCTGGCCGCGCGGGCCAACAGCGCGGCGTCCATCTGCTGCTTGATGACCAATGCCGCCGGGTGGGACTTGTAGTCCAGCACATCGACCGCGGGGAGGCGCTTACCGGACCGGACCTCGAACTGGATCTCATCATTGGTGAAGCCCAGCCACGGGATGGACCGGGTGAAGATTTCGTGCAGCAGCACACCGAAAGAATAGATGTCGGCCTGCTGGTCCTCGAAAATGGAAGTGGTGATGTTCGTGGACAGGAGGTTGTGGGAGAAGGTCTCCGGCGAGGCATACCGAGGCGACAGCCCGGCGACGGCCTTCATCCGGTTGACGCCCTCCTCGCTGGTGGTGGCCAGACCGAAGTCACAGATGACCGGGTCATAGAAGCCGGCATGCTCGCGCGAGGGGTTCAGCAGGACATTGGCACTCTTGATGTCCCGGTGGGCCACACCCACCGCATGGATGGACGCCAGGCCACGAGCCACGCGATACACCAGCCAGGCCACCTGGTTGATGGGCAGCAGCGGCAGGGTGGTCCCGCGCTGGATGATGGCCGCCTCACCGTCGTGCCCATGCAGCAGGTGGTACAGATCCGTGTCATAGAGCGGCGTGATGATGGCCGGCGGCGAGGCCGAGAAGCCAATCAGCTGGATGACATAGTCATTGAAGGACAGGGCCCACAGGATGCTGACCTCCTGCTGGAAGCGCTGGGTATTCTCCTGCTCCGAGATCTTCTCATCCGGATGGACATACTTGATGGCCACCCGCTCGACATGGTACCGGTCCTGAATGGCCCGGTCCAGGACCGTGCCACAGTAGACCGTCCCCAGGCCGCCGGTGCCGATGACTTCGTCCTGGCGGATTTGCTGGGTCAGATCCAGTGCCAGGAAGCCGGGCACCGACAAATCCATCAGGGTGTTGACCACGGTGGCATCGGCGGTGCGCACGCGCCCGGCCATGGACCGGTGATTGAAGGACCCGCCGCCGGCCGACCCGCCGCCGATCGACCCGCCAACCGAGCCGGACCCGCCCGAGCGGATGCTGGCCCCGTGCATGGGACTCAGGGGCATGCCGCCGGTGCCGGCGTCCACATCGTCGGCCTTGTTTTTGCCGCCCCGGCGACGCCGGTACCAGAAGAACCAAATGATCACCAAAGCCACCACGAGCAGCAGCAGCACCAGCACAATTGGCAGGACAATCGGCAGGAGGCTACGGCCCTTGGTGGGATTGGGATCGGACCCGGAGGAACCGATGGACGACGAGCCGGGATCATGGCTGCCGATGCCGGAGTTGGAGGGAGACCCAGAGTCCGACCCGCCGGGGGAGGAGCCCGGACCGGAGGGATCGGTCGGGGAGGAGCTCGACCCGTCGCCAGGCAGCGACCCCACCGGGCCGGAGCCGCTGGACGAAGACCCGGTCGGCGGATCGGTCGGCATGACCACATTGGAGTTCTGGACGAAGTTGACCACCGAGCCGTCGGGCTCCCAGTCGGACCCGGCGCCGGCCTGCACCCGCACCGAATACGAGTCCCCGGCGATCAGATTGTCCAGGATGATGGTGGTGTCGGTGGTGTCCTTGACCAGGACATACTCATCGTCCGCGAAGAGGGCAGCCCCCGAGGCCGGCTCGGCGTAGGTCCCCCGAGAGGCGAGACTCACGCGGTAGCCATTGGCGAAGCTGACCGGGGCCCAGGTGATCTGTGCCCGGGTGGCGGTCGGGAAGTCCGGCGGGGAGATCGGCCCCGGGGGGGCCACCGTGGTGGTGAATTGCATCTGCACAAAGTCATCCGGGTCGTCGACCATGCTCACGCGGAAGTTGTAGGACCGGACCGGCGAAAGCCCGACGATGCGGAAATTGTCACTGATGATCGACTCGCCACCGGTGATGGTCGTGAACAGGGAGGAAGTCGAGGCCCCGGTCATGACGGCAACATTGTCGCCAACCCGATCGACGGTCAGGCCCCAGCGCAGGGTGATGCTGTTGGAATTCCGGTGGCTGGCCGTGAGCGAGGAGAGCGAATGCGACGACGGGGTGGGGGACAGCTTGCAGGGCGACGAGTTGGAGGGATATGCGGTGCCAGCACCGTTGAGGTAGGGAAGCTCGAACTTCCGCGTGGATGAGCTGCACTGGATGCGAACTTGGTCCAGCCCGGGAGCGAAGCCCGCGGGGCAAGTGGCCGTGGCCACCTGGCCGAAGAGGGTTTGTGGGTGGCGGATGCCGGTGGTGGGGCTGGTCTCGGCGAAGCAGGCCACCTGGCCACAAGAGTCCTCCGGGGCAATGGGACCCCACGTTCCATCGGCCCTGCACTGACGGGGGATGGTGCCACCATAGCCGGCCGCCGCGTCGCACACTCCGTTGGCCACCTCCAGGGAGTCGGTGGCCGGGAATTGGGTGAAGTTCTCATAGATAGCCGGACAGACACGGCCTGGAGGATTTTCGAGGAAGGAGAGATACATGTGCGTGTGTGTGAGAGAGAGGGGGAGAGGGGGAGGGGGAGAGAGAGGCAAAGTGTGTGTGTGTGTGTGTGAGAGAGAGAGAGAGAGAAAGCATGGTGTGTCAGGGAAACGACTGGAAATGGATCCCGGCGGAAGGAAGGAGGGAGGGCACACGGGGGACATGTGGACGCACGTGTGCAAGGAGTGCCACTCGGGGAGGTGGCCCAGACACCGTCGGCCGAGCACTTCAGGGTCGGCAGCCCGGTCCAGCCCTCATTACAGGTGCCCGTGGCCTGGGCATTGCCGAGGGTGAGTGGCCAGCTGGCGTTGAAGGCCTCCTTCGCCGGGCAGGAAATCCGCTCGCAAAGCTTGAGATCGGCGGATGGCCGATAGTCATTGGCACAAACACACTGCGCGGCACTGGAGCCGGGGAACTGGCAGCTCGAGTTCGCGGGGCAGTGGACGCCGGTGGCAAAGAACAAGGGCTTGGGCGCGCCATACCGGTGGTAGGAATCCACCGCCAGCGAGGGGATGGTGCTGCGACCGAGGAGCTCGAAGAAGAAGGACACCGGCTTGGACAGGTTGGTGCGCTGAGTGAGAACCGGCAGGAACCCCTGCCCCGGGTAGTAGGCATCCACTTGGCTACTGGCACCGACGTTCAGCCGATGCAGCTCGTAGAGGCTGGTCGGTGAAAGGCAGGTAGCCTCAGTCGAACTGGGCCGGGTATTGTAGGTGAGGGTGGGGAGGTTGATGGTTGTCGTGGGGCTGAAGAAGCAGACATTCCCGTGTGCCATGACCATGTGGTCGGCATCGGTGATGGCCTCGGCCGTGGCAAACTGCAGGATGGGGTGGTAGTAGTTGATCTCCGTCGGGCAGTAGTTGGTCTGCGGGGCAGGGGAGGGGGGGGGGGGACGGAGGACATGGTAAGAGGGAGGTGGCCGGGCGGGGCGGGGCCGGGCGGGGATGCTGATCGCACATTAAGGGACTGGGTGTCAAGCTCGCCAAAGAGGATGCGCGTCTGCACCGGGAAAGTCTCGCTTGACGTGTTGATGGTGTTTTGGATGGCGGCCACGATGATCTCGGCCGGGTTGTACTTTGGCGTTGTAGGAGTCAAGGTGCTGACCTCGCTGACGTTCAATATCGGGAGCTGAAGCGTTGTGGGCGTCAGGCCGGTCAGGCTCCCGGCAGCCCTGGCGGTGTGGACTGCATGCACCAGGGATCGGAGTAGGTGTGGGCCAGCGGGAGAGACGCAGGGCGGGGGAAAGCCCCGACGGAGGGAGGCACATGGGGGAGGTCAGCACGGGCGCGGAGGGGGCCGGCCGGCCGGCGCCCGGGGCACACCGAGGGCGAAGGGGCGCACCGAGACAGGCCAGGGCGAGGAGCCCGGCCAGCAGCAGGGGGCGCAGAGCACGCCCCCGGCCAGGGGGAGAATCTCCCTTGGACATGGGTCGCGGGGGCACGGGAAAGAGGACGACTCCGGAGACCAGGGCGGTCGTCAGGAAGGAGCGCGGGCCCGACGCGAGAGCAAACGAGGGAGCAACAGGAGGGGGGAGCCGGAATAGCGGGTGATGGAGAAGACTTGGTGT